CATAAAAAATCGGCACAAAGCATGTCTTCTACATTGTTTATGTTTCCAGCTATGCAGTAGAAAAAGGATCAGTGTGAAATAGATAAGTGGTAGAAATGAGTAAAAATACAAGTTTTCATAATTATAGATCAAAATTTATATCAAATTAAAATTTTATCATTATAAATATAAAAAAAAGCCTAATTTATTGACTGATGTGCAATAGAAGTTTTTGCTTACATAAAAAGAAAAAATTCTATTTCTCTTGGTATATTGGCATAATTTATTTTCACTTTGTATACAGTAGTTGCAAGTCTGCCAAATTTTCCACAAGCAAGTCAGTTTCCTGAAATGTGGGATATTTTCTGTCAGTTGGCAACAGTGGCCATAAATTAACTCAGCTGATAAATCTTGCAGATCACCATTGTAAACTGTCTACGGGCCTAATAAAACAAGAGGGAGAGCAGTCGTCTAGTTATCTGACAAATGACATCTAACAGTCATCTTGATGGTTTTGTGAAAATATTCTACTATTTCATTTACAACTGGATGGTGTGGTAAAATGTGGATGTGTGTAGTATCCAAAAAAGATATCAAAGAAAGAGAGAGTTTGAATTAAACTGTTGGTCTCGATCTGTAGTCATCCTTGCAGATGTGTCAAAATGACATGTTTTTTTGAAATGTTGGCTATGGAAATGTATTCCTGCCATTTGGAAAAGTGTTTGATGCATAATTAAATCCCTGAGAAAGTAAAGAGGATAAACAATATCAATATGAATGTGCTCAAATCAGTGGCTAGGCATAGATAATATGCCTGAAGAGCAGAGGAATGTTTGTGGACTTTCACCTGCTAGATTGGAATACAAGTATAAGCTCACTGAGAAATATCTGCTTTGATTGAGGGTCAAACAAATTGATCCCTGTTTTTATATTTAAGAAAAATCAAAAATTTAATAAATTGCATTGCTATTAATTGCATTGCATTGCTATTTTGTAAATTATTTCTAGGAACGAATATCAATCCATACTAACACACAAGTGTTGGTATGTGTCTTGTTAATTTATATTTTTGCATCTATATAATTAATGGGAACATTTGAGTTAATAGAATACCATACTAAGATCTTTTAATTTTTTATTAATTTATTTTTAAATGTTTAAAATTTTAATTCTATTATGTTTAGATATTTAGATTAAAAATACATTGATAAAAATTTTGTCATTTATTTATTGCTTATTAGTGTTAAAATTTTCAAGATACAGTAGAACCCCTCTAATCCGTCACCTTTGGGACTGGGGGTATGGTCGGAACGCAAAAAAGGTCGGATTATCAGAAAAAAGTAAAATAAACAATCTTCCCTTTGTCCAGTCTTTGTAGCACTGCTAATTTTTCATTTAATGAATGAGTAACGTGTTTACGTTTCACTCCTGACATGTTGAAAACACACACAAAACTGTACACATACACACAATGTAAAACATATACTGTAACGAACACAGAAGAACGCCACGGACGGTGAGTCACTGACGAGTCGAGACAAGTTTTTCGAGTCCGACCACGGTCGGATTAACCAGAGTGACGGACTAGCCGAGGGCGGACTAGAGGGGTTCTACTGTAATT